GATAACCTGCAACATTCTTACATGTCTTTGCAAGATGCTACTTTAGCCTTTTAGTTTCACCAGTGATCCTCTTCTGACTAAAATTGCACTCAACATATATATAAATTTTGTCTTCCTGCGACGTGATTGGAGGAATTTCAACACAATACTTCTAGCTAGAATCAGTCTTACCACTTTTTTTTACCTTTAAAGTTTGAAATTTATGAAAAGAAGAGCTACATTTTAAAGCATTTATAACTTAAAGACTAGAAACAACTGCGTCAGCATTCGGTTTTGTTTTTTATACTTAACAAAAAATATCAACCAATTTTTTAATAAAACCCATTAAAATCAAATTAATTTTATTCCCTGACACTAAAGAGGTAAACACAATAATATTTCAATCAATTTATTCTATATATAGTCAATTTATTGCAGAAAATTTATATCAAATAAAAAACTGGCTAACTGTAACATTGTCCAATCAATCAATATTTACGGACACACAAAAACAATGATCCAAACATTTCTTTTCTTTTCTTGGGTTTAATTTACATAATCTATCATTAGTTTGATAATATTTAAAAAAAATTGAAAAAATTTGGAAATTATTTTACGTAGGAAATTATTGTAGGAAATTACGTAGGAAATTACGTTGGAAATTATTTTACGTATAAAGATTTAGTAGAAACCCGGGTTTTTTACCCCTAAAAATCTCGCACTTAAAAAGCCACGTTTTTCAAGCGAAAGCTCTAAGTTATTGCAAAAAACTATCAGTGATAAAGCAATAATACTTTCTCAGTTTTTAACTTTTGTTTTTTGTTTTATAATTGTGATTTATTGCTAGCATGAGTTTTCAGTTTGCAAGTGGACAAATTTGAAATAATACTTAAGATGCAAAGTTCATAAATTTGCCATCTGATAACGTGACGGGGCATGATAACTTATGCGATTTCTGGTTCAAATTTTATAAAATTTTAAAGACTGCTAACTACTCTAACTTTTTTTTCTTCAAAATTTCAAAAAGTTCACAATTTTAGTTTTTTCTGTATTTTTATATTATTCATTATTATTAATCATTACTATTGTTATTATTATTCATTACTATTTTAATATTAATCAATCTTTTGAGCTATTTCGACCTTATTATGCTTTTCGTATTTTAGATACAATTCCTTTTTTTAATAATTTCGGTTTTATTCTTTATTTCTATACTATTCCGGAAAGTCTCTTTTCAAGTTTATTGAGGTTGGCTGTTTTTTATACTGTTACTGCTACCCACTAAAGTAACATAAAATAAAAACGTTTTATCTAAAAAAGTTACACCTGAAGGACATTATCCATTGATTTATCAATGATTGACATTATATACCTGAATTGACATTATCCACCTGATGATTGACATTATCCACCTGACGGACATTATCCTGAAAAAGTTTACACTAAAATCGAAGTATTTTTTTTTTTAGCGCAAAAAGTAAACTTAGGCGTATAAAATTGCGTTAATAATATTTACAAAAACAAATGGCGTTTTAAAATACAAGGTGTAAATACAGTTTCGTTTTCTATTATTATTATTATAGTTGTAGCCGTAAATTTACATAGAATGTACACATACAGCGAGCAGGGGAAACACCCCACTATAAACAACCAGTTTTATAAATATTTGTTCCAAACTTTTTCCACAACCAGGAGTCTAGTCTATTTTTGAAAGAAAGTACAGTGGAGTACAAAGTTATTTGCTTTGGTAGATTGTTCCAGTATTTTGCTGATCTATTATACAAATGATTATATCTTGGAAGACAGTTTAGAACATACTCACGCCTTATTTTAGAATGGTGACCACGAGACACGGAGTTAATATATTTTGGTAGATATTTATCATTAACTATATCAAAACGATGTATTAATTTAAAAATTTGGATTAAATCGCATCGAAGGCGTCGAAACTCAAGTGATGGTAGGTTTAATCTTTTTAGCCTTTCGCAGTATTGAAGATGCCTCAAGCTGTAAGCCCATTTTGTAGCTTTGCGTTGAACAGATTCAAGCAAAGCCATATCAGCTTTTAAAAAAGGAGCCCAAATGGACACTCCATATTCAAGATGTGGTCTTATAAATACTTTATATAATTTGAGAGCCATTTTTTCATCAATGAAAGTGAATGTCTTTTTCAGCATACCGAGAATTTGTAAGGACTTAGAGACAACTGTTTGAATATGAGCGCTCCACTTGAGGTTAGATGTAAAAATGACTCCTAAATCACGTTCTTTAGTAGAGCTTCTTAGAGATTGGTTGATTCCTTGGTTATTTTGAAGAAAGTAATTGTAATGGGGGTTGTTTCGACCGTAATGAATGACGCAGCATTTTGAAGTGTTTAGCTTAAGTAACCAAGTGTTTGACCACTCGTATACCAAGCGTAGACGATCCTGTAGATCAACAAAATTAGATTGCGATAAGGTTTTAGAAAAAAGTTTAGTATCATCGGCAAATATCTCAGAAGTTTCAGTGAGTTTTCACCTGTTTTTAAATATTTTGTTGAGTTATATAAAGCCATCTTGCCCTATTCGCCATCATTCTCCGGTTTCCCCTATATCTACAGCTTTTTTTTTAAAAAAAAGTAAAAATTAACAAAAATTCAAATAAAATTGCTGAAGATTGTATTTTTTTGTAAATTCATAAAAATTATTAGACTTAAAAAGCGTTTTACAAAGAGTTTATGCTTTTTTTTTTTTTTTTTTAAAAAAATGCGTTTTATTGAAACAAATAGAAAGCAACTTAAAGCGCTATGAAAAAAAGCTTTAGTTATATAAAGTTTTGATATAAGCTGCAGATGCTTATATTAAAACATTAGTGTTGAAAATAAACTCAATACTCGGTTTAGTTAAGACGATTTACAAATTAATTGAATTCTTTTATTTAAAATTAGCATGATTTTATCAGCGTATATGTCCAAACAAGAGCTTTAGATGTTATATATTTTTTTGCTTCAGGTTTTTTTGATATTTAAACTTTTCTTTTGTTATACAATTTTATAAACATTCATACTACCCCTACAAATGGTTCTAAAGGACACCACTTTGGAGTCTTTAGATCACTTTCGCTCATCAACGTTAACATGAATTTAGTTAAAATCTTTTGAAAAACTGTCATATCCCACTATAGATCCTAGTTCTAAGCGGTTATGACGTATATTAACTATATATAGTTGTCAAAATACAATATTTCTGTTAATTTTTACAAAAAATACGAAAGTTCCGACCAAAAAAGCGCCTATAACTAAGAACAATTGCCAATAAACAATCAGAACAAATCATATTGTAAAACTATGATATTCATTTCACCTGAAAAGCGTATTTATTTAGAATCTTATTCAAACTTGGACAAGCGATCATGATTTTAAGAAGATTTAAAAAAAAATATTTTCGGTCTGGGTTTTTTTCGCTACAACATTTGTTTTATGATACGGCAAAATTTATCATTTTAATTTTTTTCGCCTTTTCATAATTTACAGATCTGATCATTTACCGGAAATATTTCGTAGTCAACAAAATATCATACAGACGCTATATTATTTTAAAATTGCCTTAACTATACCGAGTAGCTAGAAAAGACAATATATACTTAACCAAATGTGTTAAATAAATTTTAAACACAGCTTTATTAGTAAAAGATGAACTAGAACTTACTGAAACGTTCTTTGAACTTAGCAAAACATCAGAAAAAAGACGTAAGAACAAAAACATAACCAAAAACAAAATATAAAAAATGACAGCCTGCTTTATTTTATTCAAAAAAAAAAAAAAAAAAAAAATAGAATGTAGACTGTAGTTGTTCACAATAATTTAAAAGAACAACTACAGTTCGATGTAAAGAACAACACTCAAAAAAATCAAGCAACTTATGTTTTTTGTGTTGTTTATGTAACAAAGTTAAACAAAAAATGAAAAGTGCGAAAACAAAAAGCTTTTTTATGTAAGTTCTGTTAGGCAATAATTTCTCGCATGCATATTTTTTTTAAATGTTGTGACAAAACACGCACGAAAGAACATTAGTCGCAGTAATTTTCTTAAAATATAATATGACATGATTATATGATGATGATGTGCGCTAAATGCTCCCCAGCAGGTTAGAAGACGTGATTTGCAGTACGCGCATAAAATCATAAAATTAACATTACCGCTATTTGCTTTCTAGTATAGAGGCTCCCAAACTTTTTGTGTCGTAGATCTCTTGCCATGTTTTTCGGTTTTGGGTAGACCCCATATTTACCTGATATTGATTTTTTAAATTTCTATCATTAGTAAAGTTTAGTTTTTTGCTGACGCAGACCCCTTGCAGGTTGTCATATACAACTAGGGGTCGATATACAACTAGGGGTCGATATACAACAGGGGTCGATATACAACTAGGGGTTGATATACAACTAGGGGTCGATATAGACTTCTTATCACTGCTCTAGTGAGTAGAAAGACGTGATTTACAACAGTATCTTTGGTAACAGTATCTTTGGTAACAGTCTCTTCGGTAACTGTGTACAATTACTCTTTTAAATCATTCTGAACATTGAAATTGGTAAATAACCATTTCATCTGTAATTAATTTAATAGATTAAGTAATAATTTGAATCCCGATATTATTATTTTTTCTTTATGTTTAGTAAATCGATAAATCTTTTTTGTGCTTTTAGTTAGTTTTACAGCCATATACACAATACTTATCTACAAAGTATAACTATTTAAGAAATTACAAAAACATGCAGTCCATAAAAAAAAAGGATTTCAAATAATATCTGTCAACTTAATAGATTAACCATATCAAGATAACCAATACCAAGATAACCATATCAAGATAACCAATACCAAGATAACCAATACCAAGATAACCAATACCAAGATAACCAATACCAAGATAACCAATACCAAGATAACCAATACCAAGATAACCAGTTGTTTCTAACTTTTCAACTCCTCTTATTGTTAAATGTTGAAAGGAAAAATACAGAGTAAAATTATTTAATCAAACTTTTAATAAATACAGAGTAAAATTATTTAATCAAACATTTAATAAATAAAATATTACTAAAACAAAATTATTGAAGATATAAAAAAATAAACAATATAATCTTAATTTTAAAAACTTAAAAAAAATCTCTAGAAAGCTTTACAATGTGCGTTTTATCTTAAGCTACAATAATGCATTTTCTTAAGTAGTAATAATAGGTCTCTATTTATGGCTTTTCGTTGTGCGATGAATAGGCCTTCAGCATAGATTGTCATGGTTTGGTGCTTTTTGTGATTCTAAAAAAGTAAAGTAAAATCAGGCAAAAGTCTAACATTAAAACTAGAATAGATAATATAAACATAAATGAAATTATTACTCTTATTGTCAAAAATAAATCAAAGCTCACGTTAGGATGTGTTAATAAATCCAAATTAAATCATAACCAAAATGTTGATTTTAAAAATTAACACGTAACAATAATTTAAATAACAACCACTTGCAAATACATACACTGATTAAAAAAAAATAAGTTATAAGCATCAAAATTTTTAATAATTTCCAATTTAAATCAGAATTTTGAACTTTTACTGTTTTTATTACATTATGTAACACAATTTTTGTCCAATTTTTGACTCAAAGTTTTATACTTTTATTACATACTACAAAAGACTGGAAATTCTTTTATATATCATAATTATACGATTTAGATATATTTTAAACTTGTATAATACTTTTGATGAAAAAAAAAAGAAAATTGAGTTTTAGGAGAGATAGACCGCATAAATACTGGGTGTCTTTAACACCCTTGAAAGTATTCATATATTAGGTAACCCCCTCCCCCCTCATACCTGTGCATGTACTTTATGGAAGATTCTTTAGTAGATGTTTAGATTTGTAAGTGTTCTGAAACCACTTTCAAGAAGTACCTCTAAATTGTAGTCACCCAAAATATTTTTGTTAAACTGTTCTTGATAATGGTAATTAAAGTCTAATGTATTTTGATCCTTGCACTAAATAAGCTCACATGCTCTCCGTAAATTTATGGAGATACATCAAGGATATCAACTATGACGTCTTGGCATATTACATTATGAGAATCTGTACCAACTCTACATAGTTCTCAGCTTTGTGATTATTTAGAATGCTGTGAACAAGTGCAACAAAACAAGGCAGCCAAGTCACTTCATCTGTCCTGAAGCTTGTTGAACATGTCACATGACCTTCTTGATCTCCTTGAACAGATCAAAAAGATGTGGTCAGCTATCCCTTAACCTAAGTTTCAAAAAAATACCCTGCTACACAATAAGTTAAGCTATAACCTGCTACACAATAAGTTAAGCCTCATCAAACTGGTGAGGCTTAACTTATTGTGTAGCAGTGGTATAGACACTTTCTGAGGTTTTATCAGCAGCTTCCACTTCAATTTGCTTTAAGACTTAATCTGTTGTGACCATTCCTTTCTTTGATAGTCAAGAGACAGAGTTCAAGAGACAGAGGAAACAATATGGATAAACGTTGTGCTTTTATATTTATACAAATACTATTTTAAGCCAGTTTGAGAATATTCTAGAACGTTCTGAGAGCTTCTTGAAAGATATAGATGATTCTAAAAACTTCTTGAACCGTCTAGACTTTTCTAGCAACATGCGATTATTTTAGAAGAATGCTCAGTTTTCAAAATGAATCAAGAAGATTTTTGGAAACTCACAAACTAAAAAAAAAAAACTTATCTGGTAACAGAATATTGTTTGTTAAACAATTGCAATTTTTTTATTTTTTGTTATTTTTTTTTTATTATTCTGATTCACTCCCAACAATACTGCAGACGACTGCTATTAAGTTAGGAGTTACTAAAAAAAAGTGTAGAGTTATAGAGCAAGGATACGGTTGACAGAAGACTTTAAAATTTGAAGGTTGTATAAGTCAGGATAACATAAAGATGGGAAGTTCCAAAGCCTTAAAGTGGGGAATAAAACTAAATAAACTGCAGGGAATAAAACTAGACAAATGAAATTTTATAGAGCATGCTGGGATACAGTAAAAGAATGAGACTTTGGTGAAAGACTAGTCAAGACAAGTTTTAGTTGATGGAACAAGCTTAGCAAATAGAGCGGGTCCAACTACGTTTACAATACATTTTTAGATCTTGTCTACAAGAAAGTCTCAGTCCTGTTAATTAACCTAAAGTCATAACATAGGGCTCGTTTTTAAAATTCTGTCCTGTTAATTAACCTAAAGTCATAACTCATAACATAGGGCTCTTTTTTATTAATTAAAAGTCTCAGTCCTGTTAATTAACCTAAATTCATAACATAGGGCTCGTTTTTAAAATTCTGTCCTGTTAATTAACCTAAAGTCATAACATAGGGCTCCTTTTTATTAATTAAAAGTCTCAGTCCTGTTATTTAACCTAAATTCATAGCATAGGGCTCCTTATGTGGCCTCGACAATGCAAATTGAAAGCATTAACAGGGATACCATCCATGCGTAACATGGCACTGTTAATACTCTGATATTTTGCTGTTGATGAAATCAGCCTCTCTGAGAGATACCGCAGTGTTTGGGAAACCTAACTAACAGTCAGCTTCAGAACCACTAAACTGAGTTTTAGAGCTGTACCCTCATTAGGAGATAACAGAAAGAGTTGCATAGCCACTATCAAAGTGGCATAATCAAAATCTATGAGGAGATTCAAGAAGATCCAGCGTTCATCATCCTAGGAAGGAAACAATGTAAAACAGGTTTACATCTACACCAGCCTAATAGATGGAGAAGAAGTTCAAGGCTGGTTAGCAGAATTATTCTGCTTAATCCTAAAGTCTTTGTCTAGGAGGCCTATACAAGGCAGTAGCTGGATGCAGTTAACATCTGCCCAAGAAGAGTATTTTTACCGAGGCACCATCTCTAGTTTTTACTCAACTAAGAGCCCTAAGCTAGGGAATTTTTAAGTCGGAATTCGTTTCTCCTAGCCTTTGCCTAAAAAAGCACACTTTACAAGGCAGCAGGGCATGGAGCAGGTAGTACTGGGTAACATAACACCAGTAGCAGGTTGATCGTGATGATGCTGAACCTAACCTGACCTGGAGTAAATAAAATAAGTTACTTCCTGCAAACAGTATCTTAAAATATTGGGCACAATATTGTGGAAAAGGATTAGGAAAAATAGTACATCTAACAAAATAGTAGAGATAAGCGAGAGCGTAGGTTTTATAGTTAAAGAGTCTAGTTAGTTAATAAGCTCACGCTGCATCAAAATAGATTTAAACGGAACATTTAAACATATAAACAGAACACATATATACATAAAGTAACTTACAAGTGAGTGAACACTATGCCGAGGTTCAGACAGTACACAAACATACATATATAAAGTAGCTTACGGGTAAACCAACACTGCACCAGAGATTCAGAAAGAATTAAAACATACATATAAACATAAACAGACAGAAAACAAACATACCGATAGCAACTTACGGGTGAGACAGCATCGCGCCAGTATGTACACCTCCAACTATATAAAACACAATCAAAATATATATATATATATATATATATATATATATATATATATATATATATATATATGTATATATGTATATATATATATATATATATATATACATATATATATATATATATATATTATTGTAGGCATGACCGATTATATGTAGTACTAATGACAGGAAGCTCACTCCTTCCAGCCTTTGCTTAGAAAGCGAATCCCACAAGGCAGCAGGAAAGGGAACAGGTTACACTGGGTTACAAGTTACAAGTAGCAGGGTGATCATGAAGACCATACACCTGATCTGACACACATTTGTTTTAGCATAACAAATTAGGAAAATACACATTTAACACAGACAAAACTAAAACTACATACTAAATTTTTATTTAAGGTAAAAGTTCACGCTGCCTTCTAAAAGGTTATAAAATTTGAGTTTTTATAAAAGATACAAATAAAAAGAGCAAGATTATTACTAAAAATAAAGAAAAAGTTTCAATATAAATATTTAACATTCAAATTTAGATTGCCCATTAAAAATGAGCTTAGTGTTTTATTACTTATACCTATAACATCCTCCTCCCTCCCTAAACTTAATTCATCTAAATTTATCTATACAGTAAATTTCATGAAAAAAATCTAACTTTTTAAAAGAGGGAACCAAGAAAGATGGGACATTTTTATGACTAAAAAACAATACAACAAAAGTAAAATGAGGTAAATCACTCTCTTTATATTTTATGTAAAAATGAAAATATTCATGTTGTTTTGGTAGGTACACTTACTAATAAAATGAACATCACACTTACACAACTCACAATTACTAATAAAATGAAACCTATATAGAATTTTCAATGCAAAAGCTAGAAGGTGAGAAAAAAATTAGTTTTTTATGTCTTGGATTAACAAAACACATTATTCAGTTAAATCTGGTTCAAGTTATTTCTGTAATGATTTTTGCAGCACCTCTTTCAGCACCTTCAGTATTTTTGACAAAACAGGAAATTTCATAAATTATTCTAATCAATCTCAAGGAGACATAAATTTTCCGATATTGTTATATTCATATTTAAATAATTGATGATTTCATTGTCTATTGACAATAATAAATCTTATGGTATCATTTTGTGACTGCATAACAGTATTTTTCTATTTCTTATGATGGAGTTCTTTGATTAGGCAAGGACTCTTGGCAATACAACGACTTGTTGTTGTAAGTTGCAATTCATGGCTCAATTAAAATGAATCAAGGAACTAAATATGTAGCTGCGTACAACTTTTTCATTTTAAGATAATCTTCAAATCTTTTGATTAAAATTCTCTTTGAAGTTGATGACAAGATTCATAATTATACGATTATTTGATTCACTTTTAAAATTAGCAAAATAACCAGTTAATTTATAAACAACCTGAAATATAAATGAGCAAGTGGTATTTGTGATCTGCTGAAAAAAATTTAAAAACTATTAATTGTCTCTATTAAATCAATTAGATTGCCTATGATTTACAGTTCCTATTTTTTAAATAATAAATGTTTATTATCTTTGTTCTTTGGCTCGATTATATCATCTTTGATTGATCTGCTAAGTTTAAAAACTGACTGCGACATTAATCAGGTTGACAGCGGTTGACCTGTTTGAAGGACAAGTTACACATAAATTCCCTTAAATCTCTATATTTTTGCAAACTTGAAAAGTATAACTAAGAGTTTGCAAATGCAGCTTTGGTAGATAAATGACTAGCTGTTGTATATTTAAGTTTAGACTCTTTAATATTACAATGTTACCATACAATGATTTGGTATTTTTATTGTATTTTAGCTCTTTGTTGCTAATTTCGTTTATTAAAGTGTTTTTATATTTACACGTTGTTATTGCTAAGTCATTGTTTTTTACAAAACAATTCCAAATTTTACATGCATGATTTTCTGAGTGAGTTGAGTGATTTTTATCATAAAAAAAGAATAAAAGTTTAATTTATATTAAAATTAAGTCAAAGGAGTAGTATAAAATAACTTTTTGTTGTTGTTGTTTTTGTTTGTTTCCTTTACATAGAACTGCACAACTTTTAAGTGAGTTCGATTCCTTTATGTAGAAATAATGTCTGAAGGAATTATTCTGTGTACCAATCATTATTATTTATAGTCCAGGGGGAATTGTCATTGCTAATAATGTATGAAAATGTATGAAGAGAGTTAAACCACTTGTTTAACATATATATTTTTGGTATAAATTGAAGTTTTATTAATTTGATCATTTATTTCTGATGAGTCTTTATTGATGAAAGTGTTAAATGAGAAAAAAAAATTGCTAAGTGATTTTCTACTAATGTGTAATTACTCTGTTCTTTTAAGAACATTGAGCATTCTTTTTGTAGAATACATTTTAAATTGTTTAAATATATATATATATATATATATATATATATATATATATATATATATATATATATATATATATATATATATATATATATATATATGTATATATATATATACTATATATATATATATATATATATATATATATATATATATATATATATATATATATATAATATATATATATATATATATATATATATATATATATATATATATATATATATATATATATATATATACTTTTGTCGACAATTTTGTCATAAAATAAACTACTTATACACTCTTTCAAATGTTTTGTAATTCCTGATTTGAATTTTTCTATTCCATATTTTTTTATTTAAACAAATTGAAATAATATTGTATTCAATTTAATTACTTCATACCTTTATTAGTAGTTGAGGATGTTTTAATAATCATTACAAAAATACTATTATGCTTGTGATGAGATGTTTCTTTTATAATCTTTAAAAAGAAAAATTTATTAATTTTGCTGCTTCAATGAATTTGGATTACATAATGGTCAATTTATTTATTTTGTTTTTGGGGCAGGCATAAAAATACCTAATGGTCTCGTCAGATTGTCGCGTTATTTCTTACCGATGACAAAAATACGCATTGAACCATGGATCCCTTGCTTCTTAAGCAAACGCTCAAACCAATGCGCCATGGCTTCCATTATTGGTACACGTTTTTGGTACATGGCTCTTATTTTTGATTACTTTTGGTACACGGCTGCTACTTTTGGTACACGGCTGCTACTATTGGTCACGACAGATATATGTTTGACGTTTTATGATTATTTTACGTACTACTAAAAAAGCTAGATGTCCTATTTAAGACTCATTTTTACTCCAACACATACATCATGATTAATACTATTGTGCATTAAAGTTAAACTATTGTCCACACTGATTATTCATAAAAATTATACATGGCTGCTGCAAATCTCAAATTTAAAGTTTTTGTTCATATTGTCATAAATATGATAAATAAACAAATTCTTTTTAGGAAATTTTATTTTGGAAACCAATTCTGGCAAAAGTTTTCCTTTTACAACAATTAAAGAGACTATTACCTGTTGATAGTTTTTTTTTTAGTTACAGTTAGTGCAGTTAGCGACTGCTTAATGTATTAGTTCAGGTTTAAAGGATTGTACCTATCACATCCAAATAAAGCAATAAATAAATTATTACCTCTTTGAAAAATTTACGTGACCTGCAGGTAATCCAATTTAAATAAATGCTTAAAACCATGTTATTTGTATCCCAACTAACACAAAACGTTTAAAGACGTTCGGCGAACGTTGCTAACGTTCAAGCACGTTCTATGAACGTTCATAGAACGTTCTTGAACGTTTGAAATGTTCGTTGAACGTTTTGTGTTAATTGTGACTATGGGAGTCACACATTGTATTTGAAATTTTTTTTTTTTTTCAATGAAATTAAAACTATAAACAGCTTTATTTCCAATTTAGAAAAAAACAAACATTTTTGGTAAAATGATAAATATTTGAAAAACCTATACCTTGCCAGCTATAAGGAAATTTGTCAAAATACAATTTATTTTTATGTATATTAGTACAAAATAAATAATAAATTAACAAATTTTGTTTCTATATCACATATCATTAGGTGAATGCAACTAACGTATTGTTTGTTTTTAAGTTGATATAATATTAAAATCAATTGCAAGCAATCGTATTTCAAAATAGATATTGGAATCATATAACCATTTTACATAACGCGTTATTTATTGAATTATTTTATAAAGATATAAAATATATTCATTTGAATATAATTTGCAAAAAATTTTATTCATTTCTTTTTTTAAACATTTATAAAATAATTCTCAATGTAAATTCTCAAACATAATTTAGTAAATAAACTTTTTTTTATCAAGTACAAGTATATTTGTACATGGTTTAATTTAAAATGTAATCCTTTATATTTGAAAATAATTTAATTTCACTATTTGTAATGTATTTTAATCATAAATTTAAATATTTCAATGTTACTTATTTTTACATTACTTATGATGTGTTAATTATACAAGACTGATTGTAACTATTTGGAGTTGATAGATTGTTTAATAGAGCTCTTTTTAACTTCCAATTAATTAAAACCGATTGGTTGCAACAACATGAACTTATTTGATTATATTTTTATGTATTTAAATGATTGTAACCACATCTGATTGGTTTTGATTAGTTTCGATTAAGTGATTGTAATTGTTTTCACTATATTGTTTGTTACTCTTTTTGCCCAACTGATTGTAAATAATTGCACTTGGTTGCTAGTAACGATTCGTACTGATTTATTGTAACTAATTGCATTTGATTTAACTTAAATATTCGAGTTTATTGATTGAAAATGTGTAACACTAATTGCAGTTGTTTGTAGTGAATAAATTGTTCTTACTTGAAGTTTCATTATTTGCAGTTTTTTGCACTTCGTCAATTGCAACTATTTGTATTTTTCTGATTGTAACTGTTTATAAATAGGTAATCGTTATTAATCCCAATTGATTGCAAAAATTGCAATTAAGTGATTAAAATTGCAAATCTGCAAATGATTGTAACTACTTGCAAACGATGTTTGTAATTTTTTTAATTGAGGAATATTAATAT